AATAAAACTTTGTATTGTTTTCCTTGCAAACATTTCTACTTTTTTTCCTTTTAATTTGTATACATGGCCTTGGTGTCAGCCTAATTTTAGTAAGTTGGTGAAAAGTTGTTATGCCTCCCTTGGCTAACAGAGACAGAGTTCAATGCAGAGTAACATATACTAGATTACAGCAAGGGAACGGGCCAGTTTGTACATGCATTTCAAAAGAGCATAATCAAAAATGTATGTTTGCCATTTTTCCTTTTTTACAGACTTCAATAATTACTTTACTGAGTGATTGAACAACTTACACCATATGCTCCAGAAACAACAACTGAAACATTATGAAGAGAGTGAAAATAATCTACAGTGATCAAGAAAAGATGCAACTGCTTACTGACAGCATACAATTCAAATACTGACAGAGTAGGGAGTATTTTCATGGATGGCTTCGGAGTTCAAAAGCAGAAAATTATCTGATTTCCCTTCACATCAGAGTTAGTCTTCCACACAAATTCACATCAAATTTAACGGTGTTCTCCCTAGAAGCATCACATTAGGCCTTCTTGCGGTATCTCCCACAGTTCTCTATGCTGTAGTAAACTGAGATGCTCAGTAAATGCCTTTTCAATGAGTTAAGTGAGAACTTGTTCCATGGAGCACACAGGTGGGGAATGCTATCAGGATTCACATAGTTTAACCTGTATTTTTGCTATAAATTTTGCAGATAATATGCTTGAACAAAAGTGAATTAATTAATCATGGATTACTCCTAGCCACATCTCACAAAGGTGCCTTCTAAAGTAGTTAAAAAAACCCCACCAAACACTGCAGAAAAGGTGAACACTGGTGCTCAGCTATGCTAAGTTATTCAGGAAGGATGTTAACATGAGGTAACAATCAAGTCAAGTAAGCACAGAGCAGATCATATCTCCCTGTCTTCCAGAACAGAGTAACTGTCAAAGAAAAATACAGTAACAAAACATACTTTGTTTGATCTGTACCTTTAATCAAAACCTTAAGATGATATATGCAAGTTATATAAATATCAGAATAACTAACTCTTAATATCTCTTACATTCTATTTGGAAAGCAAGAAGAAAAAGTTCAGGGAAACTAACCATGCTCTTTAGCCTTTCCTAACAAAGTGAGGGAGATGCTGTAAAATGAGGTGGAAATTACATGAGGCAGTCTAAGGAGCCTAGAATGTGTTTTCTTATTCTCTCAAATCCTTTCTCCAGCTCTGCTTTTACCTCTGTCCACCTGCCAGCTCTGACATGCATCAGGCTCTTACTTGAGCGAGATAATTCATTAACCCAGACAAAAATTAACTCCTATCCCTCAGGCCTAGTGAGTCATTTCACAGAAAGACCTAACAAGCATTACCAAAGCAAAATAGGTGTTGAAAGCAAGGAGCTCAAGCTATACAGGACAAAAAATATTTATGGCAATATAAAATATGTTACAGGCTTTTACTTCTTAAAAAAAAAAAGTTTCTGGCATTTCAAGATTGCAGAAAGTCTTGGATTACTTTTGTGAAGGCATACGAGCCAAGATTAAACATTTCAAAAACAGACCCAGATTATTTTGTTTGTCTGGGATCAAAAATGAGTTTGATGGTATTGTGTGTGCTATGGTGTTAGCAGAACAGAAATATAGCTAAGAAAAGAATTACAATGCAATTGCTGAGCAAATAATACAAAGAACATAGTAAATATCAAACCTGAAATGTGAAATAATATTAAGACAGAAAAAAGAGGAGCAATAAGACGCCTATGTGGCTCTTGCACGTGAATAAAAGCCTGGCCCAATTCAGTGCTAAAGACACATCAAGAGTTCAAGCCAGTTTTATATAAGAAGGTGAACACGATACACAAATCCCATGTCTTTATAACATGTTAGCATTTTAACAGTAACAGGGGAAAGACGCCATTAATATAGGAAATTTCCATAGCAAATGAAGGCACTTAGAATTTTAATTATTAGCTAAACATTTTTTGGCTGTTTGTATCAACAACTGATCAATACACACAAAGGTGCTCTTAGTGGATACCTGAACAGCTTGAGCTCAAAAGGAGGGGTGGAAGACGAGCTGTCACCTCAGAAAGGTCCTGAAATGATGCAATTTTCACTATAACTAATGTGGATAACACCAGCCTTTGAAGAAACAGACAGATGTCTCATCCAATGGCTGGCCAAAGACAGGCATCAGCATTCATTTACATCCAAGCAAGCGCATAGTCGTAAAACAGAGGTGGGAGAAATGCTGGAGACTGATGAGTATTTCCACTTTTCTTTATACACCCTGCATGAGCTAAACCCCCAAGTGCATCGGTAACCTGATCAAAGCAGAACTTTTTGGCAATGGTAGGAAGATAAAGGTAACAGTTCTGGCTCAAAGGGACTGACACTGAAATCAGCATCTCCTTATTCCCCCATGGGCATTTCCACTTGCAACTCAGATTTCCCTTCCACAGCAATGCATTTCCTGTGAAGATCAAGAAAAATGCTACTCCCTGTTTTGTGGGAGGTGTAGCAACGGAGAGCAGCACTTACACAACTAAACTAATTCTGCAGCCACAAGAACTCTTACGCTGCTCTTATCCTCTTCACTACTTAGGAAGTGATTTTCCTAACATGGCTGAACACCAGGAGCTTCTATCAGAGACAACATTGGAGAATATTAATGAGAATGCAAAGTCTCACCTTATGGCACCAAAGTCTACCTTGACTCTGGAGCATCATCACTGCTGATGCTTAAAGATGCTGTACCTGCTTAACAGATGAAGGGGAAAGATCCCAGTCTCTTCTAACATCTGAATGTATCAAGAAAAACCCTCAGACACCTCAGTTCATCCTAACCAAAGTGAAGAGCAACGATACTCTGCTTCTGAGCCTGTTAAGGTGTACCTTCAGGGTATGCTTTGAATACTGGTATCAAAAGCCTTAAAGGCAGAAGAGTAAGACTAAAGTGTATGGTTTCCTGTTGGTCCAGCTTTCTTTTCCTGGAATACTTTTCCCTTCTTACCCATTTGTGGTTTAAAGTGCCTGCAGCTGGAAAACTTCTCCTAAGTTAATGGAGGCAAGTTCTACAAGATATGATATTAGAATAAATACTGGGGTGAGCTGCCAGAATGAACTAAAGTAGTGATGACATAGTAGAAGACTCAGAAGGTAGAGAAGTTTTATACAAAAATAAAATCTAACTCATTAGGAAAGTATGATCACACAAAACTTATTATATCCAGCAACCGAGCAGACATGAAGTGGCACCAAGTGCATTTTGCACTGTATGTCAGTTACAGTATCCTAATAGGCACAAGGGTATCTTATACAGTATGACTAGGAGATTCTTCTAACAAGTTTTTCCAGTGCTCTCTCCTATTCAGCAGTGCTTAGAAACTCCCAAGACACGGCACAAAATAAACATTGTACTTTGCTGCACATAGTATTTTCTCATAAAACATTAAAAAAGTACATGCTAAGCACTGCAAGTTATAAAAAAAAGGAATTACAATTCATTGTTTTCAACATTAAAGAAAAGATACCTTTCACCAACTTTAAGCTATTCAGTCCTGGCAACAGGGTCCATTCAGTGAAAAGGCTTTAATTCTGTGTCTAATCACAAAGCAGACAAAGATTCTTCCTCAGCATGCGGATAAAAGGGATAGGCTATCATCCGTAACTACATAATGTGACTGACTGAAAACAGTGTTGATTTTTTTCATGCTTGATCACTTTCAGAAGACTCCTAATGCTGCTCAGGGAAGCATTACAGCAACCTTGTTCAGTTGGTTTTCTTAGTGGGTTGAGACTGTGACTCTCTCTGCTTTCCAGGTATAGTAAATGAAAATCTACATAAAACTATCCTTCTGCTGTCAGAAGCTGAGTACCTCTGGCCATTTCTTTTAAGAGTATACCTGAGCTAACACCACCACTGATAGAGCCACTTCCACCTTTGATCCAAACCATTACCTCCCTACACCAAAGCAAAGCTTTACATGGCTGTGAAAACTAAGGGAACTCAACCTCATTAAAGTCAGTCCAGCCAAGAACAAACATCTCTGCTTACATTCTGTTCACCTTTATATATATAGATATGGATGAGCAGAGGGTTTTGTCACTTATTAGCCCTACCCTCCTTCATCTAGCTCTCAGCTCCTTATCTGTGTACATAATTTTAAAGTACTATTTAAGCAATTAACAAATCTGAAGTGGTATTATAGCTTGTAGAACAAAATGCTCTACTTTGTTTTAGCAAAAAAAAATTTACAGAACTTGTCTCTTTGGAGAGTCCTAAAACATGCCTGCAGACAGCAATTCAGAACAGGAATGCAGTATGAATTATGGATCAACTCCTGGAGAAGCCCCTCTCCAGCAGAGGATATAAGCAGAGATTAAAGAGACCTGCATCAGTTACTGTGTCCTAAAGTTACCTGGTGTAAATCCAATTCCATTTCTAGTAGCAGCTTACTATGTTGCTATTTACAGTTACGTGTATGAGCTCTAATGCATAAATTTAAGTTTCTGCCTACAAAATATCTGACACTTTCAAAATCTAAAACAAGGCAACCAACATTATTCACTGCAGAGCTGGAATCAGCAACAAATTTATACTTTGCTGACATGATGATATCTTTTCTCTAAGGTATTTAGAAAACTTTATAATATAAAGCTACAATTCCAGACTAAACATTAGTCTTATTTACATATAAAATACTATCTTTCATATTTCACATTCCCTGAAAATATCCCCAGAAGCTGGATAGGATATTCACTTTAGAACTTAATAAGCTTATCCATCTGATCTTCACAAGTCCAACTTAGAAACATCACACAATAGTTATGTGCATTGTGGTTCCAAGTATCTTTTGTTACTTAATATTGTACATTTTGGTTTACCAGAGCATTGTTTGAAAATACACAATACACTCAGGTCAATCTGATTTAATTTAAAACAGAATTTCAGCCAGAAACCTACAGTAGCCTGGTTAAAGATATGAGAGTTTTAGGCCTGAAATAATGCCAATGATTGGGTAAAGATGGTCACATTTAGATTCAACACTTGTTTCAGTTCCAGTACATCTGCTTTAACAAAGCCACCTGTAAGCAGTTACAGTTAAGACTATACAGAGAATAGGGTATGTATTTCAATACTCAGTGACAAATTGTTTTTAACAGTGATTTCTGTAACATGGCTACAAGAGAACGTTTGAAGCGAGACTGATTATCACACCTCTCAGATAGTCTGGCTATTTTCCCATTTTAAAAAGAACCCCACCCAGGAGTTAAATTTTTAATTTTCAGTTTCTTTGAACATTTTGCTCAGCTGTTCAACTAGTGCTACAAGCTCAGGGTTTCCCCCAAGTGATTCAATTTCTTTATAGGCTTCAGACTCAAGCTCTTTCAATGTTTTTCGAGTGTACTCAAAGGAACCCACATTCTCAAGGTAATGTACACAGTATTTTTTTATATCTATGTTCTCAGTCCTTTGACGCAAAATATTTTGCACCTGAGTACTTTCAGGTCTTGACCAAATTGCATGAATGGTTGGGAATGAGAACTTGCCCTCAGTTAAGTCTTCACAAAAGCTCTTGTTTTCACTATATTCTTTGGAGTGCAAGTTGGCATAGTCATCTCTTATTTGGAAGAAGAGGCCAAGTGTGTTAAGAAGTGGCTTTAAGTCTCTTTTATAATTCGAGAACAGCTGCATGAGGCCTACAGCTAATCCAAAGAGACCACCTGTCTTTTGCAGTACCATAGCTTTATATTCAGCTTCTGTAGGACAGGTGTAAGTATCCCTCCAGTAAATATCCAAGCCTTGACCTTTATGGAGTTCCAGAAGTTGACGGGTGAAAACTTTAACAGCATCTGGATGATCAAGGGTTAAAACCTTCTCTAAGCCAAGGAAATACACATAATTAGCACAGTTGATTACAGATGGAATTCCATAGATACTGTGTGCCACTGGAAAGCCCCGTCGTAGCTTTGAATTATCTTCAATATCATCTACAAGCAGGCTTGCGTTGTGCAGCATCTCTGTCACTTCAATGATAACCTATTACAAGAAGAGAAAATTAGTAAGTCTCCCACTGTAATTTAACTTTCAGTTTTGCAAGACCTTATTTAAAATGGATAAGGGTTTAAAGAACGATGTTCTCCATCACTGAGGTTCCCCTTTAGACCACTTGTTTTTACTATTAATACAGATGATTCTCTTCATCAGCCAGTTTGTTGTAAGCCCTGAATCATGTGGTCTGTCTTTCGTGTAATGGTTTCAGAATCAAAGCGATCTTACTCCCTGAAGTGTTTCCACTCATATGCTCTTCTTCATTGTTTCTACAGTTCTAAAATGTGCTACTGCCTAGGAGTCATGCAGTAACTGTTATTAGAAACATGAATAGAGGAAAAGAAAAGCAACACACTGCTGTGACAAGTTTAGATTCACTAACCTGAGATCTCCCAAAGTCAGTTCTTGAGAGTGTCAGGTATCGTCCATTAACATTTGTCCTGTAAACCTTGTTTTGGTAAGTGGAAAAAGTTCATCTTTCTTTCCCCACACTCTGTAGTTACCTTCAGTACTGAGCTCTTAAAGGACATCTTAGAGAATGTCTCGGAGACATTTGGAAAATCCTTGGCAGAAAGGCAACTGCTACAACTTCCTTTGGGAAGCTTCCTACACAGTTACTACTTGTTACTAGGTAGACTAATATACATCATCTGAGGTAAACAGTAAACTGTTCAGGACATCAAGCTTGTAGCTGACTACATTTGGCAAAAAGTGAGCCTTAACAGTTCCAAAGCAGGATACTTGAACAAGAAGTGAGGAATTTTAACACTATATATGGTCTCTGTTGCACATATTCAGCACCTGCTTAGATGGAAAAAAACTAAGCATGTAAAAGCGCATCCTGTGTAAACTCACTGTAAAACACATCTGATTTAGATATTATTTTAAAGCTAATGAACCAAATACACTTGTTAGCTAATATTACACTCAGTCAACATTCATCAAAACAACTGCTGCTAAAAAATACTAGAGCCACTATTAAACAGCAGTAAGTACCTAGCATGGTCCTATTTGGTGGGTGCTGTAGGAAAAAGTAAGTGACTTTGCTTCAAGCATTTTCTTGAGCAGGAAGCTATCCAGTGTTCAGTGATCACTGTCCCAAAGATTAAAACCTAGAACTCAGCAATCTAATTGTTTGTCCAAGATATGACAGCAAGAACAACCTACTTAAGAAGCACTAATCACTCACCTACTAGTTAGAAGTGAGCCCTACTTTGTCCTGTGAAGATACATTGTTGCCCATTGACTTTAAATCAAAGGACAAAGTACTTACTGAAAGCAACTTTGCATGCCTATTTATCTGAATATTCTTTTAGTCCATTATGTCATTCTCAGTACTACCAAGAAAACTTCCCTGTATTCTGTGAATTCCTTGGATAAGCCTATTCTGGTGTTTATCTTGCTAACCTATTTCATATCACTGTCATTTTCATGAGCTTTTGCAGCTTCTAAACATTTAAGATTAAATTGAAATAGTGCTTCAGTGTTTGAATTAAGTATCTTTTGAACTTAAGACAGTGTCAAAAATGCTCTGAAGTTGAAAGTAAGGATTGAAAAAGTTCAGACAGCAGAAAAAGCTTACTTTAGAAGACATCAGGAAGTAGCCTGAGGAAATAAAAAGACTGCTCTTTATAACAAAAGCTGAAGAACCTGTACAGAGCTATGCTTTCTTACAAGCTAAGCCAATCTAATCAGCAGCTGCTGCACTATCAGTCCAACACGGTTTTCTACCTCCTTACCTGCAGCAGCTTTAAAACTTGCTTGGCCCTGTACTAGGCCATTTCAGTGCCCTTCTAGAAGAAATTTATCTGACAAACCCATTCTATAATGGTTACATGATTGTAAGTTTAGAAATGACAGGTAGAACCGATAACTTCTGTTCATACAGAGGCACTGCAGCACTGATTTACTATAGTACATGAGAGAAGATGGACCTGTACTGTCACAGGTGCTTAGCAAAAGGGCAAGAGGCAACAGCCAGACTGCAGCATAAGAAATCCCAATTAAACAGAATGGAAGAACTTGTTACCACAGAAGGGGTTCAGTACAGGAAGACAGGCCCAGAGAGGCTGTAGAATCTACACTCTCAGCAAGTCAGCAAGGTCCCTAGAAGCCTAAAATAGCTATGGAACAAGCCCTGCTTTAAGCAGGGGGTTGTCTTAGGTAACTTCTGGAGGCTTCTTCCAGTTTGAATTCTGATCTATGATATTAAACTAGACACATGTATACAATACACAGGCTGCTACATAATACATTTTATTTGGATATATAGCTGAGCACAATGGATAAGAAGTGTCTACCTGGAAGCCAGAATAAATCTGACTTAAAAGTTATCTAGACAGGTTAGAAAATAGAATTGTTACTAGATGATGAATGCAGCCTTTTCCTTCCCTGTTTAAATCACTTAAACCATTTTGCTACTCAAGGACTATGAGGTGTCACTCTTAAGCCACCCTAAAGACAACTTCTTCACAAACTCTAAAGGTACCTCTGCTAGCAATTAATGAAATTAACTAGGGACCAGCTGGGTAAGTGTCAAAAAAATAACTGGTGATTTTAATTCCTTACATTGCCTTAGATGCAGAGAATCTTTTGCACTCTCCATATGCAGTTTAGCAAAACTGCAGTCTAAGAGGATAACTTTTCATTTGACAAGCCGCAGTGTTTAAATACAGTCATGCATCTTGCACAAATCTGTCCAACAGAAAAGCAAAAGGGAAGGAAAGTTCCTAGTCTAATGCTTCTCATTAGGGTGCAAGGACTCTAGATTGTCTAAGACTACCACAGTTTTAGGTCCAGAACAAGAAGTGGTTTACAAAGTTGATTTAACTGCTGTCTTTGATAGTCCTGTATCAAAATAAGATCTTATTTTCAAGCACTACGTGTTTGTGGTTTACAAGGTAACTGTCTAGCTTTTCATAAATCATTGAAAACTCAGTGTTAATACTGAGTTAAGTGGGCAACAATGCTAGCTGCTTATCTACAACTTTCAAGGTTGAGTACACTTGGAAAGTAGTAACTATTCTACGTAAGACATGGAAGTAATTTCTTTAGTGTTACACCACAGTCAAAGCTTTGTGCTAAAGGTGTGCTCTTGAGAGCTTAGTTTAATATATTCAGAAGTTAAAGCATTAAAGATTTCTGATCATTTCTGCTATGTAAGAGAATCAGCTGTTACCAGTAGTCCTGGAAGAAAGATAACAGCCCTTTAAAAATAACTAGCCAGTACCTGTATTTTATCTTCTGGAACATTCAGCCAGTGATTAAAGGCCTGTGACAGTTTGGTTCTCACTTGTTTACCTACAATAAAGATATTACAGACATTTATAAAAATCACACAAAGTGCATTATTAGGGACAACAGTTTGTTTTAACAACTACAACTGATTTGAGACCAGTAAGCTGATCAGTGTGATCACACGAAAGTGGAAAATGTATCATAGTAAGTGTGTAGCTTGTTTCCTCATTGTATAAACATCAGTTATCAGCAACTTCAGTTTTAAACATTTCACAGTAATATGCAAAGCACATATTTACAGGTTACTCTATTTAGTTCTGGCAGTTTAATTAGTCCATGCTCCCGAGTATGTTGGCATCCCATATGGATCAGCTTACTATTTCTGAAAGTAAGCCCTAGACTGCCAGGCATGTTGATTTTGTGTATGTAACAGATTAAGAAGCTTCAATTATGATGCATTAGTAGTTGAAGATATGGATATTTGTTATATATCTATTTATCTCCATTTTTAGGTCTTTCTCCTGTAGTACTCTTCACTTGCTACTGACAACTTCTAAACCTGGAAAAGTGACATTTGCATACCTACTAAATAACTCTAAACAAAAATCTGAACAGAACACAACTCTGAGTATTCAGACACTTATCACCTACCCAAGAAGTCTACCTGCAAATAACAGGATTTGTTCTGCTTTGGCTAAATCTAGTTTGGTGGAGCCAAGCAGTCACCTTGTTTCATAGGAATGAAACACAAGATCAAACATCCAAGTTCGGTGTTAAAATAAGCACTATTATTCAATCCAGGTAAGTTTTACATGACATAGTTAATTTTCATAGAAATTAACCTATGCGCCTATAAATCATTGATGCCAACTTTAATAAATCGCTAGTAGTCATACACCAAGTATTTATTCAGTGTCTACTGATGATCAGTATGAAATAAAGTCTCCCCCTACCCACACAGTGGCAATGCTGTTCTGAATTTTGAGAAGCTCAGCTCTGTGTAAAATCTTCAAATAACTGCAAGACAGGTTTAGACAAACAGCTCTGCATGTTCCTTACATCAACAAGGCCTTTAAAAGAAGTTTTAAATAAATTTCAAAAACAGTGGGTTCCATACTAATTTCAAGATCTACTGAGACATAACTTAATGTTTCTGCAATATTAGTCCTTGTGTTCATGATGCCATCTTGCCCATAGCACTGAAGAAATTTCAACA